TACGATAAAACTACCTCCTTGACTGTGTGTCAAATTAGGAAGAAGATGTGCTTAAAAATATTAAAACTGTTATACCAACCTCTAGCGAAGAGAAGAATTTATTCACCCCTCCAGATGTCGTAGTCATAACACAATGTAAGGCTGTAACTTTAGCGCTAAATTCATTTACCTGTCAAGAAGAATTACTATTTAACATGGCCAGACAAATGTATGTACAAAATTGACAGCAATCATTAATTGTTATTTAATTTTGATCTTGCATCTGAACATAATTTTGCTCATAGAGTCTGAAGGGCTCTGGTGATGAATTCCAGCTGGGCAGGCCACTGAGAATTCATACTCAACAAGCTCCACAGGGAGATTAATTGCTAATTCCCCCTGGGCCTTGTTGGAGTTATCACATCCCTCCCTCCCCCAAGTCCAAGGACTCCCCCTCCCTCCTGTGATGATGAGGCCTCCTGGATCATTTTGCCCATGGCACTAATACTGTTCCTTTCTGGGTCTGGTTGAGGAGCATGTAACAAGTAGGTAAATGTCTATTCTGTGAACGATGTCGAAGAGTCGCTGTAGGGGGCTTGTTTTTGGTGGTGTGTCCTTTGAAGCAACCATCTCTGTGGAAGGATCCCCCGGAGGTGATTGATATGTTTTTTTTTACAATCTGCTGCCTAGTTTTGACCATGTATGCTTCTGGCCCTGTTTAAGGATAACTCCCAGGATTCCTGGAGCGCCGGAACCCAAGTTCCTGATGTGGACCATATCTCCCCCTGGTGATTTTTGAGACCTATGAGAAGCTTCAACTCTGTGGTTTTCCTTGGAATCGGAAACCCTTTTAATGCCTTTCACTATCTCTTCAACAGGTTGTAATCCATCCTTGTCGACTCTGTATGCAAGATATGTTACCTTGTTAACCTGGAACATACACTTTTCCTTTTTTAACCAGATGTCTGCCTCAGAAAAACTGCTGTAAAGACCTCCTTCAAACTCTTCACTTTCTTTACAGTAGCTCCAGAGATTAAAATGTCACCCCAATACTCTGCCACTCTGGGCACCCCTTGGAGCATGTTTTCCATTACCCTTTGAAAGATGACACAAGGTGAACACACTCCAAAGGGCAAAGCGAGTGTACTTGTACAGTGTATTGTGAATATTTAGAGTAATATACTTTCTGGATGACCCCTCAAGTTTTATTTTATTTTATTATTGTCACATCTACTGAGATACAGTGAAAAGGCAAATCATACCATACATAATTAGATCAGGGTAATAGAATACAATGTAGAACATAGTGTTTCGGCTACAGAGAAGATGCAGAGAAAGATTAACTTTAATATATGAGAGCTCTGTTCAAAAGTCTGATAACAGTAAGGAAGAAGCTGTTCTGGAATCTGTTCATACATATATTCAAACTCTTGTATCTTCTGCCCAATGGAAAAGGGTGGGAGAGAGTATAACTGGGGTGGGGAGGGTGGTTTAATTATGTTGGCTGCTTTCTTGAGGCAGCAGGAAGTGTTATTCGGAGTCAATGGAAAGAAAGCTGGTTTTCGTGATGGACTGGGCTGTGTTCACAACTCTGTAATTTCTCGCAGTCTTGTAGACAGCAATTTTCATAGGAAGCTGTGATGCACCTGGATAGGATACTTTCTATGGTGTATCTATAATATTTGGTAAGAGTCATTGTGGACATACCAAATTTCCTTAGTCTTCTGAGGAATTAGAAGCATTGAGGTGCTTTCTTAACCGTAGTGTCAACGTGGATGAACCAGAACAGATCGTTGACGATCATTTTTACTCCTAAGAATTTGAAGCTGTTAACCATCTCCTCCTCAGATCCGTTGATACTGACACTTCTGCTCTGCTTTCTGAAATTGATGACCTTTTTGCTGACATCGAGGGAGAGATTGTTGTCTTTACACCATGCCACTTAGCTCTCTATCTCTTTCCTGTACTCTGTCTCGTTATTGTTTAAGATCCAACCCACTACGGTGGTGTCATTAGCAAACTTGTAAATGGAGTTACAGCAGAATTTGGCCACACAATCGTGAGTGTATAAGGAGCGCAGTAAGGAGCTGAGTACACAACCAAGCGCAGACTAGGTGACCGTTTCGCAGAGCATCAACGTTCTGCTCGCAAAACAGACCCTGACCTACCCGTTGCCTGCCACTTTAACACACCACCCTGTTCCCTGACCAACATGTCTGTCTCTGGCTTGCTGCAGTGTTCTAGCGAAGCTCAATGCAAGCTAGAAGAACAACACCTCATTTTTCTGCAGCCCTCCAGACTTAACATCGAGTTCAATAATTTTAGGGCCTAAACTCTCCCGTGCCTGCCATTACACACTACCTGTTATTAGTCACTAATAGTCCCCATTAACAACTATTCACCCTCCCAGTCTGATTGTTATCAACTCTTTGTCTGTCCAATTGCTCTTCTCCCTCTTTAGGCTCTATCCTATCGTTTACTCCCTAACCCATCCCCCTCCCCTTTTTTCTGCATAGAAACTGACATTTTCCCAGCCACCATCAGCTCTGAGCAAGGGTCACCAGACCCGAAATGTTAACTCTGTTTGTTTCCTTCACAGATGCTGCCAGACCTGCTGAACTTTTCCAGCAAGTTTGTTTTTATTCCTGATTTACAGAATCTGCAGTTCTTTCGGTTTTTATTTCAATAAAATCTGCCATCCCCCAATCCAAAGCCATTTTTTGTAGGCCAACCTTTTCCTTGTCCAGAACACATTTGAACTTTACTATGTTTTGGTCGCTGTTGCTAAAATGTTCCCCCACTGCCACATTGAACACTTCTTTCCCCAGAACCAGGCCCAGCACTGCACATCTCTTGTTGGACCTTTTACGTGTTGATACAGAAAACTCCTCTGGATACTTTTCAAGAAATCTGCCCCCTCTAAATTCTTAACACTATGACGATCCCAATTTATGTTGGAAAAGTTGAAATCCGCTCGTATAATAACCCGATTGTTACTGTTACACATCTCTGTGAACTGTCTACATGTTTGCTCCCGCTGACTCTTTAGGGGCCTTTAATACACTTCCAGTATAGTGGCTGCCCTCTTAACATTCTTAAGTTCTACCCACAAAGCCTCGTTTGAGGACCCTTCCAAGATATCATCTCTCTTTCTTGCAGTAATTGACTCCTTAATTAATAATGCTAAACTCTAAAGAGTAGAATCCCAACTTGTTTAGGCTTTACTCATAAGTCAATCCCTCCATACCTGGGATCTTCCTAATGCACCTTCTCTGAACTGCCTCCAATGAAATAATATTTTTTCTTAAGTAAGTGGACCACAACTGCTCACAATAGTCCAGTTGTGGTCTCACCATCACCAGCTGCAGTAAGACATCCGAACACTTATACTTCAACCTCTTGAAATAAGGGCCAGCATTCCATTAGCTTTCCTCATTACCTACTACTGCTATATGCTATCTTTCTGTGTTTTGTGCACAAGTACCCCCAAGTCCCTTTGTGTTGCAGCTTTCTGCAGTTTTTCTGCATTGAAATATACTGTTCTTTCGTTCTCCCTGCAAGTTGGTTCTTTCGTTCTCCCTGCAAATCATCTGCAAATTTCGCTGTAGTACGTTCACTTCCTTCCTCCAAATCATTACTATATATTGTGAACACTAATGGTCCCAGCACTGATCCCTGTGGAACTCCTTTGGTTAGAGATTGCCAATCTGAAAAAAAAAGCCTTTATCCCCACTTGCTGTTTCCTGCCCGTTAGCCAATTCTCTCTCTATGTCAGTTTACTACCTCCATCACCATTGGTTCTTGTGACTGAACCTTTTGTGAGGTATTTTGTGAAACGGCTTTTAGAAGTCCAAATGCAATCCATTAATTGGTTCCTCTCTATCCACTCTGGTTGAGACTTCGTCAAAAGACTCTAATACATTAGTCTGTCGTGATTTACCTTTCATGAAACCATGCTGACTCTGCTTGATTAGATTAGGATTTTCTAAATTTGCTACTATTACCTTGATAATTGATTCCAACATTTTTCCAACAATAGATGTTAGAGTAATTGGCCTGTAGTTACCTGCTTTTTGCTTCCCCCCTTTTTGAATAGTGACATTGGTAGTTTTCCAATCCTCTCATACTTCCCTAGAATCTGTGGATTTTTGAAAAATTGCAACTGAAGTATCCACTATCTCTGTAGCTACTACTTTTAGGAAGTTCAGGGAACCTATTTGCCTTGAGCCCCATTAGTTTGTCTAAAACTAAGTCCCTAGTAATGATTCAGAGATAGTAGGACCTGCCGATGCTGGAGAATCTCAGATAACAAGGTGTAGAGCTGGAGGAGCACAGGCCAAGCAGCATCAGAGGAGCAGGAAGGCTGACGTTTTGGGCCGGGACCCTTCTTCAGAAATGGGGGAGGGGAAGGGGATTCTGAAATAAATAGAGAGAGAGGGGGAGGCGGATGGAAGGTGGAATAAAGGAGCAAATAGGTGGAGAGGAGACGGACAGGTCAAGGAGGCGGGGATGGACCCAGTAAGGTGAGTGTAGGCGGGGAGTTAGGATGGGGGTTGCTCAGTCAAGGGAAGACGGACAGGTCAAGGAGATGGGGATGAGGCTGGTAGGTGGGGGGGGGGTTGGGGTTGAGGTGAGAGGAGCGGATAGGTGGGAGAAAAGACGGACAGGTCAAGGAGGCGGGGTCGTGCTGGGCTGGTTTTGGGATGGGTTCGGGGGCGGGGACGAGCTGGGCTGGTTTTGGGATGAGGTCTGGGGTGGGGAGATTTTGAAGCTTGTGAAGTCCAATTAATTCTGTATCTTTCTCCACAGAGTTTCTTGAATTTTTTTTAAGATTTCCAGTATTGACACCATTTTGCTTCTGTTTTGCATTGAAGCAATTTTCTTTTGAGAGGGAGTCAGAAGTGGGACCGTGTCGAAACTTTTCTGTAGTGTTTGGTTCTATTGCTTAAAATAGATATGTGGACTGAGTGGTAAGCTGCTCCAACTTCTAACCTTGAAAAATTCTTTCTTTTCATTTGCAGTGTTTACACATTTCCATGTTTGGAAGCTTTTCTTGGTAAGCATGAGGTAAGTTCAACATTTTAAAAAAAAATCATTCATGGGATATGGGTGTTACTTTATGGGCCAGTGTTTATTGCTGTTCTCTGTTGCCCTTGAGAAAGTGGTGAGCTGCCTTTTTGAACCACTTCAGTCCATTTGCTGTGGGAGTTCCAGGATTTTTATCCAGTGATGCTGAAGGAATGGCAATATATTTCTAAGTCAGGAAGATAGTGGCTTGGAGGGGAGCTTGCTGCTGGTTGTCTTTCTAGATGTTAGTGTTTGTGGATTTGGAAGTTGCTGTTTGAGGAGCCTTGCAGATTTCTGCAGTTCATCTCATAGATGGTACAGACTACTACTACTGAACATTGGTGGTGGATGAAGTATGTGTTTGTCAATGTGGTATCCATCAAGCAGGTTGCTTTGTTCTGAATGGTGTCAAGCTTCTTGAGTGTGGTCGCAGATGCATTCATCCAGGCATTGGGCATAATATATCACATTCCTGACTTGGGCCTTGTGAATGGTCAATAGACTGTGAGCGATCTGGAGGTGAGTTACTCCCTGCTGGGTTTCTAGCTTCTGACCTGTTCTTGTAGCAACATACTTGTATGGCTAGACCAGTTGAGTTTCTAGTCAGTGATAACTCCCAGGATGTTTATAGTGGGGGATTCAATAATGCTAATGCTATTGAATGTTAAGGGGCAATGAAAAGATTCTCCCTTGTTGGAGTTCATGGCCAAACACTTGAGTGACACCGATGTTGTCATTTGTCAGCCCAGATTTGGATTGGCTGAAGTCTTGCTGTATTTGTACATGGACTGCTTCAGTATCTAAAGAGTTGTGAATGGTGCTGAACACTGTCCAGTTGTCAGCAACAACTTTATTTCAGACTTTATGACAGAGGAAATGTAATTGATGAAGTAGCTGAAAATGGTTGTGCAAGGGATGACCTGGAGATGTGAGATGACTGACCTCCAATCACTCCAACTATTTTCCTTAGTGCCAGACGTAACTCCTACCAGCAAAGAGTTTTGCTGCCTGATTCCCATTGACTCCAGTTTTGCTAGGGTTTTTGATGCTCTGTTCAGTCAAATGCACACTTGATGTTAAGATAATCACTGTAACTGCACTGCTGTTCCTTTATCCATGTTTTGACCAAGGCTCGAATGAGATCAGGAGCTGTGAGGACCTGCCAGAACACAGACTGAGCATCAGTGAGCAGTTTATTGCTAAGCGAGTACTGCTTGATAGTATTGTTGATGAGCTTTTCATCTTTATTTGTGATTGAGAAAGGACTGATTAGTAACTGGATGTGTTGGATTTGTCATTTTTCTTGTGCACAAGACATAACCTGGGCAATTTACCACATTGTTTAGTATATGCCAGTGTTATGGCTGAACTGGAACATCTTGTCTAGGGCTGCATCATGTTCCGAAGCACAAATAAATAGTATTTATGCCAGAATGTTGTCGGTGCCATAGGCTTTGTAGTATCAAGTGCCTCCAGCCATTTCTTGATCTCATGGAGTCATAGCACAGAAATAGTCCTTCAGTTCAACCAGTCCATACCAAACTAATCTAGTCCCACCTGCCTGCTCCTTGCTCATATCTTTCTTTATTCATCCATTGGATGAGGGTGTCGCTGGCTAGGCAGCATTTATTGCCCATCTGTAATTGCCCAGAGGGTTGTTAAGAGGCAACCACATTGCTGCAGTTCTGGAGTCACATTGTAGGCCAGACGAGGTAAGGATGGCAGTTTCCTTCCCAAAAGGACATTAGTGAACCAGATTGGGCTTTTTTTTGACAATCGACAATGGATTCATGGTCATCATTAGATTCTTAATTCCAGATATTTATTGAATTCAAATACTACTGTCTGCTCTGGCAGGATTCGAGCTCAGGACCCCAGAATGTTATCTAGGTCTCTGGATTAACAGTCCAGTAATAATACCACTGGGCCATCGCCTTCCCTCCATCACATATGCTTCCAAGTCTTTCTTATTCATGCACTTATCCAAATGTCTTTTAAACATTGCGATTGTACCTATATCCCTCACTTCCTCAGGAAGTTCATTCAACATACGAACCACCCTCTGTGTAAAAAAAATTTCTCCCATATCTTTTTAAAATCTCTCTCCTCTCACTTTTAAAATGTGCCCCCTCGTCTTGAAGCCCCCATCCGAGAGAAAAGACAACTACAATTAACCCTATCTATACCCCTCGTGATTTTATAAAATTCTATAAGGTCACCTGTCAACCTGCTACACTCCAGTGAGAAAAGTCCCAGCCTCTGTTATAACCCAAACCTTCTATACCTGGCAACATCCTGGTAAATCTCTTCTGAACCCTCTCCAGCTTATTAATATTCTTCCTATAACTGGGATACATTATTCCAGAAGAAGCCTCAGCAATGTCCTGTACAACTTCAATATTACGTCCCAATTGCTATACTCAAAGGACTGAGCAATGAAGGCATGTGTACTAAACGCCTTTTTAATCACCCTGTCTATATGTGATGCAAACTTGAAAGAATTATGTACCTGAACCCCGAGGTCCCTCTGCTCTACAACACTACCCAAGGCCCTTCTATCCCTGTTTGTTGTACCAAAATGCAATATCTTGCATTAATCCAGATTGAACTCCATCTACCATTTTTCAGCCCACTGATCCATTTGATCAAGATCCTTTTGTAATCTTAGTAAACTTTCTTCACTGCCTACTATGCCACCAATTTTGCTGTTGTCCACAAAGTTACTAACCATGCCTCCTATATTTTCATCCAATTCATTTATATAAATGACGAACAAAAGAGGACCCAGAACTGATCCCTGTGGAACACCGCTGGTGACAAGCCTCCAATTTGAAAAACAGCTCTCCACCACCACTCTCTGTCTCCTGCCGTTAAGCCAATTATGTGTCCACTTGGTTCCCCTGGAATTCCATGTGACTTAACTTTATTAATTACTCTACCGTGCAGAACCTTGTCTAAGGCTAAAAAGTCCAAGCAAACAATGCCTACTTCTCTGTCCTCTCATCAATTCTTTTGGTAACTTCCTCAAAAAACTCAACCAAGTTTGAGATGTGATTTTCCACATACAAAATCATGCTGATTATCCCTAAACAATTTTCACCTCTCTAAATGCCCATAAATCTTACCTTTTAAAGTCACCTCCAACAATTTACCCACAACTGAAGTCAGACTCATAGGTCTATAGTTCCCTAGTTTTCCCTTAAAATCTTTCTTAAACAAAAGTTCAACATTAGCCATCCTCCAGTCATCAGGCACCTCACCAATAGTTATTGATGATGCAAATATTTCTGCAAGGGGTCTCGCAGTTTCCTGCCTGTAATGTTCTGGGATACACTAGATCAGGTGCTGGAGGGTTATCTACCTTTATAGTCTCTAAGCCTCCAGAACTTCCTCTTCTATAATGTGAACTGTTTTTAAAACATCAAAATTCATTTCTCTGCATTCTCCAGCCTCCATTTCTTTCTCCACAATAAAAACTGATGTGAAATATTCATTCAGTATCTGTCCCATCTCCTGGGATTCAACACGAAGATGACCTCCTTGATCTTTAAGGGGCCCTACCCTCTGTTTGGTTACCCTCTTACTCTTAATGTACTTATAGAATCTCTCTGGATTACCCTTCACCTTATTTGCCAATGCCATCTCATATTCCCTCTTTGCCTTCCTGATTTCTTTCTTAAGGATGCCCCTACACTCTTTATATTGATTAACAGATTCGATTGAACCAAGTTGTTGATATCTAAAATGACATTTTTCTTCTTGAGTAGAACCTCAATATCTTTATTCATCCATTGTTCCTGAATCTTACCAGCCTTATCTTTCACTCATTATGTTCAGAGGAACATAATGCCTCTGAATTCTCATCATCACACTCTTGAAAGCCTCCCACTTGTCAGACATCCATTTATCTGCGATCAGTCTACTTCAATCAAATTTTGAAAGTTCTTGGCTCATACCATTAAAATTTGCCTTATTCCAATTAAACACTTTAACTTTTTTATAGAAGGTTTGTCCTTTTCCACAACCATTTTGAAACCCGTAGAATTATGTTCGCTACACCCAAAGTGTTACCCTATTTTTGTTTCAGTCACCTGGCCTGCCTTATTGCTGAAAAGAAAGTCAAGAATTACTCCATCTCTAGTTGAAGCATCCACATTTTAATCAAGACAGTTTTCTTGAACGCATTTGAGAAATTCTTCACCAACCAAACCTTTAACACTATGGTAGCCCCAGTCAATATTTGGAAACTAAAATTTCCCATTATTATGACCTTATCATGCTTACGTGTATCTGAGATCTCCTTACATATTTGTTTCTAAGTTCTCCTCTGACTGTTAGGGGGTACTATATCACCAACCCATTAAAGTGATCTCTTCTTTCCTTTTTTTCTAATTTCTACCCACAATTTTTCAAAGATATCTTCTCTAGTTACAGCACTAATGTAATCTTTAATCAAAAATGCCACTCCCCCTCCTTTCTTGCCTCCTTTCTTATCCTTCGTATAGCATCTAAAACCAGGAACATTGAGTTGCTGTCCTGTCCATCTCTCAGCCAAGTTTCTGTAATAGCTATGACATCCCAATCCCATGTTCCTAAACATGCCCTGAGTTCATCAGCCTTGTCTGTCAGACCCCTTACATTGAAATAAATGCAGTTCGGTTCTTCAGAGTTATTACGTACTCTGACTCTCTCTTGTCTTTCATTTCTAATTGACTTGCTCTCTTCGCATTCAGAACCCTTTCCCATCAATTCCTATTTACACTGCAACTTCGAATTCCTCCTCTTCTTTCCCCTTCCAATCAGTATAAAGTCTCCCTTAATGGAATGAGCAAATCTCTCTGCTAAGATATTGGTTCCTTTCCAGTTCAGGTTAAACCCGTCCTTTTTGAACAAGTCTTTTCTGTTCCAATAGAGATTCTAACTGTCTAAAACACCTGAATCCCAGAACAATACACCACCTCTTAAGTCATTGATTTATCTCCTTTATCCTTTTGTTCCTT